GAACCTGTTACGTTTGAACACAGCCTGCTTTAGCATCTGGGGAGTTGTGAATGATGTTGAACATTGTGCAATCATTGGTAAACGTTCCCACTTCTTACATTGTGCTGCAGGAAAGGTCATTGATGGAAGCAGCTGAAGCTGATTGGGCCGAGGACATTACCCTGAAGAACTCCTGCAGAGATGGCCTGGAGCTGAGATGACTGACCTCTAAAAGCCAAAACCATCTTCCTGTGTGTCAGGTATGACTCCAACCACCACAGTTTGGTCCCTGATACCTACTGATTCCCGTTTTGCTCGGGCTCCTTGATGCCACACTCAGTCAAACGCAGCCTTGACGTCAAGGTTGTTCCACTTTCACCTCACCTCTGGAATTAAGCTGAGTGGCTCTGGCTGAACCGAAACTGAGTGTCACTGAGCAGGTTATTGCTGTGCAGGTGCTGCTAACAGCATGGGTAATGACACCTACCATCACTTTACTGATGATTGAGAGTAGACTGATGGGGCGGTAATTGGTCAGATTGGATCTATCCTGCTTTTTGTGTACAGGCCATACCTAGGTCACTTGATGAAGGGTCTAGGCCTGAAATGTCAGCCTTCCTGCTCCTATGATGCTGCTTGGCCTGCTGTGTTCATCCAGCTCTATACCTTGTTATCTCACTTTCCACATTGTTGGGTAGATGCCAGTGTTGTAACTGTTCTGGAAGAGCTTGACTAGGGGAGCAGCAATTCCATCTTTAGATAGCTAAGTAGCACAAATACCAACAATTTTATACATACAAATATTTCTAAATCTTTCAATTTGGAATCTAGAAAATTTTAAAAACATTTTTGATAAATAACATCCCTCATTCTGTATTGAGAATGGGATGGTGGAAGCACCTGAATGACACAGGTATCGAATCATTCGAATTTGACAGACTGCAGTCTGGGACTGGGCAATCTAATTAAAATTGGCCAACTAATTAAGTTTTGAATGAATTCCAAACATTTTCTTAGGTAATGTATCAAATAAACATTACAGCCACATTATGATCAGCCTCCTCCTCCAAACCATTGACACATACATGTCTCTCCTCCAAATCTCAGCCTCCATTCTCTCAGCAGCTGATTGATTCATTTAAATCTCTTGAACCCGTTTTGCAGCCCTAATGTAATTAATGTCATGTTGGACACCGCCACATCTTTATTCCCTTAAGGGAAATGCTTTGCATTATCGTTTGTTGATCTTTACGAGGTATTCCAGAACACCTAGACATCTTCTCTGTACATGCGCGGTTTTATTTTTGGTTCCAAATTGTATCTTTCTTTCTTTCCTTCTTTTCCAATAGCATTGGGTTAACTGCTCCACTTATAGCTGAAGCTGAGACTGAGCACCAATCCGAGAGGGTCTGACTCCTGTTGGCACTCATCGACTCAACAAAGACTGAGACTTCATCATCTTGGTTTCACTTTCTGATTCTTACGTTCTGCCTTCCGGAGGATTTCCACAGATTGGTAACAATGCGGCCAAAGTCCTCCAATCACAGGATTTCTGTCACCCAATCTCGTCTCTCGTCCAATTAAAGATCCTGGGGCTTGACGAGCAATGGAGGGGGAATCTATGACTGGAGCAACATGAGACGCAGAATCTGTGATTGGATGAGGTCCTCCTCTCAGATTCTGTTGCTCTCACATAAGCAGACTACCCTTTTCTGTGTGACTGCCCCCTGTGATTGCTTTCTCCTCAGTGTTTTGGGGATAATTATGCCCACTCCACACATGCATTTGGAGTGTTCCACTCCAGCTGAATTTATGCTTCATTTCATTGGCTTTTAGGCTCTATTTATATTTTTAATATATTATAAATAGATAAATCCAAGAAAAATAAACCTCAGAAAAAAGCACATGCTATTAGTGGTGTTAACCCTAAAGACAAGGTATAGTTAAATTACAGGGAGGTTAGGAATGTGGAAGGAATGCTTACATGTAGGTAGAGATAGTGGGAAATTTCTTCTTATCATCACATTGAATGTTAGAACCAGAACTGAAAGCAAGAATACTTTCTGATTAAAAGTGCCCATATGTGGGTTCTTTCTCAGCAACCATAAATCATTAAAGTTACAAGTGTGAAATGGATACAAGAACAATGAATCAAGAAATGTACAGTTCAGAGACATGCAAATCACAAAACCCAACTTGTGATAGATGGCTCAAACAGAAATCCTGTGTTAGTCAGAATTCCAAGTGATCTAAGAAATGAAAGTGATTGCCTTAAAGAATTAAATTCAAAGATAACTACCAAAGTGTAAGGAACTCGGAAATGTTTATTATCAAGATCAAAATGATGTGTTCAGTGGTTTCCCCTCTTTTCCCTTAGGCCTGTTGTCCAAACCTGAAACTCTCATTTATATTTAGTTGCTGTTTCATCTCCTTCCATGCCCTCTGCACGGTGTTTCTGTCTGTGACAACAGCCTCTTGTTTCCTTCACAATGAACTGCTAATCACTCAACTTCGCTTCCTGTTCTAGTGTTGGCCAAATATTGTAAATAGCTTCCTTTCTCCAAGAATTGTATCATTCTCCTCCATGAGTGCCATCATCCCCAATATATCAAAAAAAACTATACTTAGCCCCTCTACTTTGCTATCTAAATGCTCATCCTGAACTCCTGCAAGTTCTGATACCACTGAACACCATTCTTATCACTCAACTTCTTGTCTGAATTGCTCTATCACTGCCCCATGCCTCTGAAATGGCCAAAAGTCGTGAATCACATTCTCTGTGACTATGACATTTAACAAATGTGAGCCAAGTTTCCCTGGAACTAAGCAGCTGAAGGAAGGTGGGAGTTTCCAAATCCAGCATACAAAGCGCTTTTCTGACATGTCTTATGGGCCAAGAGCAGCAGGAACACTTCCGCTGAGTTATCCTCCCAGCCCAAGTTCACCAAATGTGATCTGTTCCCCTCCAATCTACTGAACACCGATCTGACATTTAAACTCCACCTACAGCAATATCCTCTGCCCTCTTTGCTCCCTAGCTTATGGCATTTTACCCAAAACCTTCCATCCCGACAGTTAACCAGTCTTTCAATTTGGACAGCTGACAGCTAAAAAACAGAGAAAAATCACTAAAATAAGGTGTGGTCATTAGATTCAGCAGGTTCTCTGCATTTCCTAGCAGCTAAAAGTTGCCTGTTTCCTTCTTGCTAATGTGGAAATATTTACTCCAAAGTTCTCACTGAGATTTTCCTCTATCCTCTGTGGTGTGCAGGGTTGCAGGATATTTATCCACACTACATTGGATTTCTGACCTGGCAAAAGCTATGGAGAAATCTCCACTATATTGGTTTCAAATTGTCTCTTGATAGTGTGTGCCCTGGGGCATGCTCCTCAGCTGACACTTTTAAGTCAGGATGTCCAAACTTTCAACATTACTTCTGAGGGAAGCAGCAACCATGTACAAAATATCCAGAGCTTGCAAAATCTATTGACATTTCTTCTTTATCTGAGAGCTAAAGGGAGAACATGTATTCTTACAAGACCTGAGCCAAATGCAATTCCTAGAACAGAAAGCAGATTCAGTTCTGCTCAGCTCTGTACTCAGCCAAGCTCCAGAAAGTCATGCTGCAGTTACTTTTCCTGAAAGTATCTCACAAACAATAGTTAGAACGTACAGAATGAACAAAGTAAGTGAACTGTGATCTGCGTTAATTGCTTCACTATTAAATTAGTTCTAATTGTATGACTCCTGCTCAACAATAGCCCTTAATGTTTCATTTCCCAAATTGAAGCTAGTGCTTGAATGTAATGATTAAGTCAATCCTGATTTAATTCCAATTAAATTCCTGATTCAAGGTAAATTCCTGATTTAACTTAATTTCAATAGTAGCTTAAAGTTTGTTATGTCGCTTATTTGAAGCACAGCTGTTAAAAATAGTTTCATGATCCGGTTACTTTGCGTCCATAGCACTCAAACAAAACCAGCCCTAGATAATCAATTCACCAGGACACTAGTCCCAGCATGGTTTGAGTGAAGCCTGTCCCAGTTCAACAGCTCTCCTTCTACACCCATACTAGTACCAGTGCTCCATGAACTGAAAACCATCCTTCCCACAACAATCTTTGAGCCACACATTTAACTCCTTGACTTTGCCTGTGGCTCCAATAGTAAACCTGAAATTATGACCTTAGAGGTTCTGCTTTTCAGTTTAGTTCCTAACTCCTAACAATTTGTCAGCAGAACTTCTTTTCCAGTCCTATCAATGTCATTCGTACCATTGTGCATGATGACACCTGGATATTCTCTCTCCCACTCCAAATTCCATTCCAGACTGGGGGAGATATCCTTAACCCTGGCAGGCAACATATCCTTCAGGGCTCTCACTCTCAGTTGCAGAAAACAGTATTTATCTTTCTAACTAAACTGTCCCCTACCACTACTCTGTTCCTATTTCATCCTGACACCTGAGTGGCTCCATGCACCATGGTGCCATGGTCAACTTGCTCTTCCTCCCTGCAACCAACACTTTCATCCACGCAGCTTGAAAGTTTGGTATCTGTTGAACAATTGCAGGGACAAAGGCTTCTCAAAGGCTATTGCTTGGGTCCCCATACTTGCTTGACTTACATACTTGCATGCCTTTAATCACAAGCCAAGTTTGAATTACTTAATAAGGACTGTATCTTTATGTTTTTCTCTACTGTTGATTGTGCACTGAAATAGGAACAGGACTGTTTTAAAAATCAAGGATGGTGGAAAGGAGTACTGCACTTTTTCAAAGCAAGACACTCACTTCAAATGCTGTTTATACTTTAGTTTGTTCGAGCAGTAGGAGTGGTTAGCTGGAGCCAGGAGGTGAGTGTGAAGGGGGATTTAGTTGGCAACAAGAAGCTGATTGACAACTGGTCACTACTACATAGACAAATGACAAAGACCTTCTGCCTGTAACAACTGGCAGATTGGCTCTCAGGTAGCAGAACAAATATTTGCTCAGAAACCATCAAACCTCCAGAAAGGAGGATGCTGTCTCTTCTCTATAGCAAAAAACACTTGGAGCCTAAACAAAGCCAGTTTATTTCCCTCATCAGTTGCTGTAAGCTGTGGCTTTTAACCAATAAATCAGAAACTTTATAAGTATAAACCAGCTGGGCTGTGCCTCCTGCAAATATGTATGTAGGTTTCAAGTTTTAACTAGTAGAGTTATATATCAACAGTCCATATGTGTATCTAAAAGTTATTTATTTGAAATATATAGTCATTGTTAAGTACAGAAACCTGGACCATGTTTTCTGTCAACCTGGGTCTAGAAGGTAAGTAAACTGGGGAATTTTTCATACTTGCAGATCTGTGTACATGACAGATTGGTCTGGACCCAATTTTTTTCCCCTAATTCACAAGTCTCAATGAATCAAGTGGTCCTTTACACTAGCTTCTATTACAGCATAATCTCCATTCTCGTGTTATCTGCAGGAAGCCCTTTCCTCTATGTCCTGTGAGAAACAGGATTTGGTGTAACAAAAACAGAAATTGCTGGGAAACTCAGCAGGTCTGGAAGCATCTGTGGAGACACATTTGAATCTAGTTCTAAAAAAGGGTTACTGGGCTCAAAATTTTAACTCAGCTTTCTCTTTGCAGATACTGCTAGGCCTAAGTTTCTCTCGCAATTTGTTTTTGTTTCATATCTTAGCATTCACCATTCTTTGTTTTAGCTTAAGAATTCCGATTACTTTTATAAATCGTTTAACTTTTGTGATTACTCCAGGAATATCTGGGCTTGATTTCCAACATGCTACCCCAGTGAGGTGTAACACTAATCCAAGGGGGAGCAAAATTTCCAGCTAATGTCTCCCTCCCTGATCTGGCACAATATCTGCATCTTGGACTCCAACTCAACTCTGTTTGGAAGTTGCTCAAGCTGCAAATATGCACAGATGTGGGTCACCTTGGTGACCAGAAACACCAAGATGCTGCAGCTGCAACACATCACCTGTCTTCCCTTTTCTACCAGTATTTTCTTTGTTGTAAATTAAGTCACTCTATCATCCTCGTTCTTTACACTTGAAGAATCCCCACTCTGAACACTTTATAATCTTTATTTCCTTTTCTTAAGCACTGGTATAGTGTTTCGTTTAAGTTTAGCTGTAGTGGTTGATAGGAACATAAAATTTGAGGAAACTATAGTTAAAAACCATGGATCAAGAGTTTCCTATCAACCAAGGATACTATTTGGTTTTAACAATAGTAATGACCAAAATTACATGTGATCCCCAAAGTAAGAGTACAAGTTCAACAATATGATGTAATAAAAATGGGATTTGACTGATTGGTCACTGTTACCCAACAGCCTCATCTATTGATTAATATACTCTCTATCAATCTCAATAAATAGCAGATTGAATATTTGTACTAAACTGCATTCCACATTTCATCTTATAAATAAGATGAATAGTTTGCAATAAAAAAATCATCAGGAAATCATCAGCTATACGCTCGATCATAATGCACAATCTCAAACTGGTGACAATGAAGGAAGAATTTCTCTAATATTAAAAACAAGGGCATAATTTATTCCAGGAAACAGGCTCCTGTCAGTTGACCCAAAAGTTACTAAGATTCTCAAGTGGCTGGGGAAGAAAGGTGAAATGCAGAGTCATCCAATTACATGGTTGGGACTGGGTCTTTTGCTTCCCTAACCTTCTGGATGAGATTCCTGGGACCTGCAGACATGTCCCTCGAGGAGAGAGGCTGATAGTGAAGTCTGAGGGCCATAATCTTTAGGGGAATGGTCTAAAGGTATATGTTGAGGGCTGTATGTTGGCACTTTTAAATTCAGGATCAGTAGCTCCTTTCTGCGCATGTTCAGCGTTAGGGGGATCTGTGATCTTCATGAGCCTGACTCAAATCCTTTCACTGGCTGCTGAACGTCAATTTAAAAGAGCCAACATACCTCCCTCATAATGTACTTTTTGACTATTCCCCTCCAGATTATGACCCTCAGACTTCACTATCAGTCTCTCTCCTTCTGTTCTACGCCCTTGAGACCATACCATCAGACCACCCATTCAATCTGTCCTTGGCGGGATGTGAGCATCCCTGAATGAGCCTGTCCTTATTGCATATCCTTTAATTGCCCTTCAAAAGATTGTAGTGAGTTTGCTTCTTGAGCCACTACAGTCCATTTGGTGTAGGGGGACCCACAATGCCCTTTGGGAGGGAGATCCAGGATTCTGAACCAATGACACCAAGGAACAGTAACATATTTCCAAATCAAGGAGGTATCTCAGTGGGGAACTTGCAAGCGGTGGTGTTTCTAAGTATCTGTCGCCCTTGTCATGGATGGTAGTGGTCATGGATTTGGAAGATGCTATCTAAGGAGCATTGCTGAGTTTCCACAGTGCATCTTGTAGATGGAGTACATTGCTGATACTAAGTATAGGTGGTGGAGGGAGTGGATGTTTGTGAATGTGATGCCAATCAAGTGGGCTGCTTTGTCCTGGATGGTGTCAAGCTTCTTGAGTGTTGTTAGAGCTGCACTCATCCAGTTAAATGGAGAATATACCATCACACTCTTGACTTGGGCCTTGTAGATAATGAACAGGTCCTGGGGAGTCCAGGTTGAGGACAGGAGTCATGACATAGCCATAGGCCGTTGATAGCGGGAATTCAGCAATGGCAATCCCATTGAACATCAAAGGACAGTGGTTAGATTCTTTCTTGTTGGAGAAGGTTAATGCTTAGCACTTACGCACAATGAATGCTGCTCCCCACTTATCAGCTCAAACCTGGATATTGGCCAGGTCTGACTGCATTTTGACAAGGTCTGCTTTAGGATTTGAGGAGTTGCAAAAGATGCTTAACATTGTGTAATTATCTCTTGGGATGGGTTTCAACGTTTATCACAATTAATATTTGAGATTTCTTGGGCCTTCCTTCCGTTAGTACTCGGAAAGTCAATCCTTTTTTTAAAAAAGAACGTTCAGATGATGCAAGCAAGTTCCATACTAAGCACCTTATCTCTATGGTAATGGAAAACATCTGGGATTGCTGATAAATATTTACATTAACTGTTAGTTTCAAAGCTAAATTATTGCTGAATTCAAGCAGATCCTATTTTTGCTGACCTTGTTAAATAAATATAGGTAATCCTTTAAACTGCCATTACTTGAAGTTGCCTGAAATTTCTGACCTCCAGAGGCTCAGTTACCTTTCTTACGTAAAGTTTAGTTCTGCTAAACTGACAGGTATACATCCAAAGGTTGAAAATCCTGAAATTCAAAATTTTCACACTATGCCCCTTCAGACTTTGGTGCATTACATTAAGTTCTGTCTAGGGTTTGAAACAACTGCAGAACAAATTCTTTTTGTACCTCTTCAATTAACTCTGTTTATTCAAAAATGTCAATAGACCTGAAAGAGATCATCTTTATCAGCTCCTTCACCTAACAAAACAGCTAGAATTTGGTTACGGATTTAAAATCACAATGGGAAACATCTAATATCTGCATGAAGCAATGAAGCCTTGAAGGACAATAGAAAAGCATAACTGTCAATTGAGACAAACTATATGAAAAATGCAATATTGAAACACCCTTGACAAGGGTGAATTGGGGAAATCAAATCTTAGCAATACTCAAATTTTGCCTACCTTTGACTCTGTCACTTTTGAAAGAGCATAATATAATTGAAAGCAACTCCATGCTCAAATAAATTATCTGTTGGCAGTCTTCGTGCATATGAAAATAAGTGTAATCGTCAGAATACTTACTCTGCGCAGATTTTATTCTGTTTATAAAATTTGTGTCTTGCAGTAAACAACCGTGAGATGTATTTTGCCATTTCAATATCATCCTAAGGAAAAGTAAAAGAAAAATCACACCGTATAATATCTAAAATAATGGATTTCATACCAACGCGATGAACAAGTTAGTAATTTTCCACCATATAATTTTGGTCCATACCCCACCACAATGCAGTGAGACAGCATGGTACTGCACACTCTTAGCATAACATTTCATCATTACACCGACCACCCATGAGAATTTACAGCCTACAACCAAACTTCTCCCCACTCTCATCAGGGATTTTGGCCTAACCACCTGCATATTACCTGTGCATCTTGTAAGTACTTGGAAATCCACCATTTCCATGCCTTCCCACTGTTGGTACCTGTGTGGTGGGGGAGGTGAAATGCAAGGGGCTGTGGGAATCTTGTTGGTAGGCATGCTGGAAAGATAGGATGTCAAAGTAGCCATGCTTCCCTCTCATCTTTATCTTTAACTACTCCAACACTCTCAGCTGTTTATTCAAAGCTATATTAGAATTTTAAATAAAACCCTTTTAGCACCTCCAGTCCGTTTTATGGTTCCCCTCCCTTTTTAGGCAATGCACTAATTTTCCTTGCTGGCAATGGCAAATTCTCCACTGAGTGGCAACAATCCTGCAGAGAACCTGCCCTGAATCCACCATCAGGCCTGAGCGATCTACACTGCGATGTGACTCAGTACAATGGGTTGGGATTATGACTAAGTGAAAGCAACAGGCATTAGCTCATGCACTGAAGCAATTCAGGCAGTACATCCACATGCTTCAAAATAAAATTTCAACCTTTTTTTTAAGAAGGAACATCAACCTGTTAAGAGATGTCATTGTGAACCTCTAGAGCAGGTGGGACTTGAAGCCAGGCCTTCTTCCTCAGAGGTGGAACACTACCACTCTGCCACAAGACCCCTAAAGCCTAGTATTCTCAGGTGGTCTCCCATCCAAGTACTAACCAGGCCTGAGTCTGCTTAGCTTCTGAAAATATTGGGCTTTTTCAGACTAGTATGCCTCCTTAAATGTTTTGTATCACACATGCTCTCGTTCTTAAATCACCCCAATATGTAATTCACATTATTTCACCTACACATATACATGCATGTTTAGAAGAGATATCACACTCTATGGGCAGATTTAGTTGGTCCCATGTTCCCATAAATGGCAGTTGAAAGTTTTGTCAGGCATATTTAAGACAGATCCAGCATTAATAGATTCTTAGGATCTTTATTCGATTAGTATTCAAGTTTAGTTTTTAAATATATTTAATTTCATCAGCATTGCATGAGATAATGAAAACCACACGAGTAACATTTTTCTTTTAACATTTAAAGTCTGCAGACACCCAATATTAAACTCAAACTTTCTTCACGCCATGTGAAACCAAAACGGCATTTTTTAACAATAGCAAATAATTCTTCAATCAGAGCAAAGTGTATTCAAAATTACCAGTATATAATCAGAATAACATTGCCAATGCAACAAGCAGCATAATCTAAACTTAAACTAAAAACTTGAAGTATCAAATCAGCCATTTTCATGTCAAAGAGGTTGAGTCAAATTTTATCAAAAACTACCAGTGATACAATTAAACCAAATATATTGTGAAACAACATTTTTAAACAAAGATGGTATTCTCTTAATTCAATTTTCAGATCAATATTTTCAGAACAATATCTGACTTATTTCTTATGCAACTTGCTATTTTTTCGGAAAAGAGTCAATGCACCCAAACATTAATTCTGCTTCTCTCTCCACAGATGCTGGCAGACGTGTTGAGTTTCTCCAGCATTTTCTGTTTTTATTTTAAAGCTATTGTTGTTAAAAAAAGAAATTTTGAAAACTTTTAATTGGAGATGATAAAAGGTTAACAGATATAATGGATTCTTCAGGATGACGTAAGATTGTTTAATGCATGATTGGGTTGCTTAAGTTGCACCAATCTGCTACACGCCCACTCAAAATCCATCCTCATGGACTTCAGTTTCACATCTTCTGTAGATTTAAAGAAATCAATGCACCCAAATGAAAGCTATTCTAATTTGCCATTTGATGCATTACCATCAGTCATATTTTCAGATTAAAGTCATAGACTCACATAGCACAGAAACAGACCCTTCGATCCAACTCGACCACACCGACCAGATATCTTAAACTAATCTAGTCGCTTGTGCCAGCACCTGGCCCACATCCCACTAATCTCTTCCTATTCATGTACCCGTCCAGAATCTTTTTAAATGTAATTATACCTGTCTCCACCATCTCCTCTGGCAGCTCGTTTCATACACGCACCACATTCTGTGTTAAAAAAGTTGCCCCGCAGGTCCCTTTTAAATCTTTCTCCCCTCACCTTAAATCTATGCCCTCTAGTTTTGGATTCCCCTACCCTGTGAAATAAACCCTTCTTTTGCAATCTAGCCTTTGCAATTTAGTCATTTACTAAACAGACAAGGACTAAATTTTAAATGTTGTACTTATCATACATTGGAAGAAAGGTGAGATGAAAAGCAGCCTTATTAATTTTTAATAATTACAACCTCAGTTGTGGTAAGTTCAAGTTCCATTGCAATCTCTTTGTAACTAATTATTCTATATCAAACTTTATGAGTCATCAGTTATTCTCAAGGTGTTTTATGTTTTGTCTGGTACATTGCTAAAAGCAATGCAGCGTTGCCAGACCAGTTATTCTATAAGCTCCATATTGGTAAAGGTAAATGATGCTGGAGACCTCCATGTAAATGTAGCTGTCATTGTTTTGACACAAAAGCCTATAGTTTCAAACTGTTGCTATTGTAATGCCAACATTATTTAAAATAAATTGGTGAAAATAATACTGAATGGAACATCTAGCTAACTGTGCTGTATAAGTGATCTCAAAGAGTATTCAGCTGTTTAGTAAATAGGTTTATATAGGGGAGGGGGGGGGGGGGGGGGCTACCTGGCATTATTCTAATGTTCATAAGAGACACAGGCACAGAAAATAGGAGCAGGTCTTTCGGCCCTTTGTGCTTGCTCTACTTTTCAATATGATGTGTGAAATAATCCAGCACCCCGTTCCTGCTTTCTCCTAAATACCTTTGATCCCCTTAGCTCAAAGGACTATATCTAACTCCTTTTGAACATATTCAAATGTTGTGGCCTCAACTGCCTTCTGTGGCAATGAATTCTACAGCTCAACACTCTCTAGGTGAAGATATTTCTCCTCATCTCAGTCCTGGCATTCTTCATATCCTTAAACTGCAAACCCTTATTCTGGCCTCCCCAGTCATTTACAACATCATTCCTGCATTAACCTTGTCTAGTCTTGATAGAATTTTATAGGTTTCTATGAGAGCTCCCTCATCTCCATTCTTCTAAACAGCAGTGAAAATAATCCTACCCAATCTAGTCTCCCTTCGTACTTCAGCTCTGTCATCCCAGGAATCGGTCTGGTAAACCTTTGTATTACTGTGTCCACAACCAGAACGTCCTTTCTCAGCTACGGAGACCAGAACTGCACAGGTGTAGTTTCACCAATTGCAGCAAGACATCCGGCCCCCTTGAATGCTCTTGCTACGAAAGCTAACATACCATTTATCATCTTCATGTGTGCTGCATCTGCATGCTTGCTTTCAGTGAGGGGTGTACAAGGGCATTCAGGTCTCATTGCACCTCTCTGTTTCCCAATCTATTCTCTTCTTATTTTTGCTACCAAAGTGGATTACCTCACATTTATCCATATTATGTTTCCTTTGCTATGCATCTGCCCACTCGCTCAACTTATCCAAATCACACCGAAGCATCAGACAAAAAAAAAACTGAAAGAATTGTGGATGCTGGAAGTCTGAAACAAAATCTCAGGAGGTCTGCCAGTCTCTGTCGAGAGAAATCAGAGTTAATGTTCTGGGTCTAGTGACCCTGCTTCAGAAACTCTGCCAGACCTGCTGAGATTTTCCAGCAATTTCTGTTTAGGTTTTGCAGTGAAGCATCTCTGCATCCTCCTTAGGTTAATCTCCCAAACAACTTTGTCTTCTGCAAACTTGGAGATATTACATTTAGTTCCTTCATCCAAATCATTAATATATATTGTGAAGTATTGCTTCCTGTAGTACTTTGTTAGATACTGCCTGTCACATGGTAAAGTGAATAAATGTTGCAGTTCCTCCATGCACTCTTTAAATACTTGTCATTGCCTAATACCCAAGTAATATTCCCCAATTTATCACAGCTAGCTCGCAACTCATATCATCAGATTCCTTGATTAGGATTCAGAACCCTAGTTTTAGAATCAACTAAGTCACTCTCCATTTTAAGGAAAAATTCTATCATATTAATTCACTCTTCCTCATGGTGTCTCACACAACTACACTGCCACAGATTCCTTTCTGATTGCACGGTACCTGGTCTAGGATGGTCTGTTCTCTACTTGGTTCCTCATCATATTGATCCAGAAAACTATCATGCACACACTCCAAGAATTCCTCCTCCATGGTTTGCTAAACTCGGTCGATGTACAGATTAAAGTCACCCATAATTAGAGCCATACTTTTATTGCTTGTCATGTCTAAGTCCTAGATTAATGTCTTCCCCAAGATTACCACTACAATTTTGTGGACTATATACAATCCCTACTATTTTTTCTACCACTTGGTGTTTCTAAGCTCTACAGATTTCACTTCACTAGAACCAAGATCCTTCCTCACTATTGCATTAATTTTCTATTTAACTAGCAATGCTACCTCACCTCCTTTTCATTTGTTCTTCCTAAAAAGTGAATAGCTCTGGATATTCAGTTTCCATCCCTGGTCACCAGACAGCCATGTCTCTGTAATCCCACCTGTATCATACATGTTTATATCTATTTGTGTAAATAATTCATCCTCTTTATTGCAAATGTTCTGTGCATTAACACACAAGCCTAAATGCGCGTCTTTTTAACATCCTTAGTCTCATTCACATTATTTCACATTGTGACCGTTTCATTTTTGCCCTTGAATTTACTTTTCTTATTTCGCCATTTAGTCTTTGTTTTCGCTTTTGTTTCCTTCTCTTCTGTCTCCTTGTATAGGTTCCCATCTCCCTGTCATTTTAGTTTAAATCCTCCCTGATTGCACTGGCAAATACTCACCCAAGACTTCAGTTCTAGTTCTGCCCAGGTGCAACCAGCCCAGTTTTTACTGGTCCCAACTACCCTCGAAATGGTCCCAATGTCCCAAGAAACTGAGTGTTACAGGCATTCCAATTGCTCACTAGTTGTAAAGGAGTTATTTTTCTTTTGGATGCCATGGTGAAAGGATCACCATCTAGAACTGCCTCCCACTCACTGTGTTGAATTATTATAAATGATCAACAGGAAACAGGCAAGTATGAGTTTGAAGGAAAATATGTTTAAACATTGTGTACTGAAAACAAGAATGAATAATTATGTTAATAGATTCAACAGCCGTTTCTTATTCCTGTTTTTGTGCCATTACAAATAAGAAACAAACTTAAAATGCAGCTAATGTCTTCTGTTTCTGTCTTCTCTTTGACTTCAAAAAAAACCTTCCTGTGAAATTGCCATTAGTTCTGTCCAAATACAATACAGCATTAATTTTGGCAAGCCATTCTTTTAGCCAGACATTACAATGAATGTTCAGCTGCTCTCCTCATGTAGACTTTCATCAGGAAATTAATAGATTTATCATCCACTGATTTATAAAAATGGTTGGCAAGATCCTGATACATCTTTAGCGACATGCATACACAGTTAATTCATATAAATAGGTATGAACATTCAAATGTATTCTAAAAGAATTAATGACTGTTAAATTAACTGCAACATGGTTTTATTATTCAAAGCATAATTTTGTGCAGTTATTGCAGTAAAACCTCAGTTAAACAAACCAGTGAAAGGCAAAATATAAAAGCAAAATGAGTACTTGTTTAAAAAAATGCAGTCAAATGGAATTTGAAATGGCAAAACAAGTAGCAACATACTCCAAAAGTGCTTGAGCATTTTTGGGTGTCAAGAACCATTTGACTTCTGTGTAGCCACAGTCTCTAACGTGGTATTATTTCCACCCAGGTTTAATACAAATGGCCTGCAGGAAGCACTACCTCTAGTGGTGGGTTTCCTGCATGTTTAAAATATAGTCACATTTATTGACTGCAGGTGGATTGCACATCCATTTGTGTGTTTCTGAGTTGAGGCTTCTGTTTACATTCGCAAGAAAATCTAAAAACAATGGGCATTAGAACATTCACGTTTCTTTGAAGGCTAAAGAGTCAAAAAGACAGCTCCTGACAAGGAACAAAGATTTTCTAGTATCTCTGTTCGATCTGAAACAATAAACAAAACCTTCATTTACAGCTTTTATCCAGAATTCCAGATACATACAGAGATTGGTCTATTAACAAAAGAACACACAAAAAAAAAATCAATGAAGATGTGAAACACCAAAAATGGCAGATGATTAGTTATCAGGAAGGGAAACCTAAAGCCAGACATTCTGCTTGAGATTGGAAACGTCATCATACAGCACACTGTAGAATGAGGCTAATTAGTCTACTGCGACTGTGCCAGCTTTTAGGAAGAGCTATCTGATTAATCCCAATACTCTCTTTTTCTCCCACAGACTTTGTAATTTTTCCCCGTCAAGTATGTAATTGAATGTCCTTTCACCAGCCCTTCAGGTATTGCATTCTAAAGAATGACATCTCACCGTTTAAAAAAACTTTCTTCACCTTGCCTCTAACTCTTTCATCAATTATTTTAAATATGTTCATCTGACACTGGAACAGTTTTCTTCATTTACTGCAGCAAATCTCTTCAAGATTTTGAAGACCACTATTAAATGTCCCCTTAATGCTCTACACTTTAAGTGGAACAGTTTATCTAGATTCTCTAAATCCCTGGTACCATTTAAATATCTTCTCTGTAAAGTTTTTTGCATCCTTCCTGAGATGTGGTACCCAGAACTAGATGCAATACTCCACCTGAGATCTAACTAGTGATAAATAAAATGTTCATGTTAACATTCTTCTGACTATACCTTATGGCTGTTTATAAAGCCAAGAATCCTATATAGCTGGACATTGGAGTGGCATGATGGCTCAGTGGTTAGCACTGCTGCCTCACAGCACCAGGGACCTGGGTTCAATTCCACCTGCGGGTGACTGTGTGGAGTTTGCATATTCTCCCTGTGTCTGCATGGGTTTCCTCCAGGTGCTCTGGTTTCCCCCCACAGTCCAAAGATGTGCAGGCTAGGGTGGATTGGCCGTGCTAAATTGCCCATAGTGTTCAGGGATGTGTAAGTTAGGTGGGTTCAAGGGGGTGGGTGGGATGCTCTGAGAGTCAGTGTAGACTTGTTGGGTCAAAGGGCCTGTTTTCACACTGTAGGGATTCTATGATCATACACAATCATCATAGAATTCCAACTTCAGAATTAATAATGGACCCTTTCTACTACTTCAAAGAAAATAATCAAGTTAGATAAATATGATTTTCTAAATTTGGTTGTCACTTATTAATTAAATCTTTTTAAGCGATAATTAATATCGTTCCTGACTATTTTGAAGTTTTTCTCACAACCAACATCAAGCTGACTGGTATAACAGAGGTAGCAGGAACTGCAGATGCTGGAGAATCTGAGATAACAAGGGGTAGAGCTGGATGAATACAGCAGGCCAAGCAGCATCAGAGGAGTAGGAAAGCTGATGTTTTGGGCCTAGACCCTTCTTCAGAAATTCTTCAGAAACCCTTCTTCAGACTGGTACTTTAGTTGCCAGGTTCATTCCTCTCCACATTATTGAACAGGGTGTAAAGTTTGCAGGAATTGCTTCACATCTGCGGAAGATTGCCATTTTCATCCTTACTTCCTTCATCAACTTAGAATAATAGTCATCTGGACTGGGTGAATCTCTCTTGGTCACCTGTTAACTATCTCTATTTATGTTTAACCAATATAAATTTCCCAGTACAAGCTCCTCTACTGTGATATTGATAACATGCTCCTCTATTGAAAACAGGTGCATGAGATTTATACAGTACATCCATAAAGAGGACATGGATGAAGAATGAGTGATTTCAATTTGTACAGTTTAGCTGGATAGCAATTTTTGCAACTGAGTCCTGAAGGGAAGGTGATGAGGCCAGAAATGATTAATCAGATTTCATGAACTAATGTTTTCACCTTGATTAAGCTCAATAAGTTCAAAAAGAGATGCTGGCTTAGATTTAGAGGAAGGAGAAATTTGAAGAACAAAGATGTCTGTTGATGCCTTGGATTATGTTTAAATTTGATTAAGCCAAATTAATAATGGATGTGATAGCTTCTATTGATATCTGAAGTAGTACATTTCAAAAGGCAGTTCAATATCTGGAAACCATAATTCAACAGGCATTTAATCGATGCATTTAGGAGAAGTGGGGAGAGAGAAAACACTGGAGCATCGGTATTTAGAAGGCATTTACTAGAAACTAAAGTATGATGATAACAAAAGATTCACAAAGAAGGAATTTTACACACAACTTGCCAAACAAATGCCAGAGGTCAACTCCAAAGTACCAAAGCGGATAACAGAACCATTTTAAAATAACTGTTAAACTACTATAAACTCAAAGAAGTTTGTAAAGCAAACCACTATAGCTCCAGATACTTACTGTGTGAAATGGAACCGTTTCTTCTTTGTTTGTTAGCTCCACATTAATTGAAGACCTGTTGTGCGTAATATTTCCAATTTCATTCCATCTGTAAATTCAAAGACATTTTATACTATCAATCAGGTTTCGATTTTATTCTTTTGAGACGGAGTTTGTTAACCCTGGTTACTGCTAAATACTTTGGGTGAGAATCCACATAGACTCCTCAGACAAATTTATTGGGTGATTCATTGAAATGAGGTGGTGGAGTCCATTCTGGGGCAAGGAAAATCTGAAACCTATCAATTAACGTAAAATCAATTGTTTGGACATGTGGAAATTATACACAAAGTAAGACTCAGTTTAAGCAGTTCTTGCACATATTTTAGATCTCCAGAGGAACTAATGATAAGGAGATTAAGGAGCAGCATTGTGCATGAATATCAAAAATTGCCTCAAGGATGTATTTGAGGAAAAGAAAACTGGAGGCTATTTCATGTAGTTTTAAATCTCAGAAATTTAGTTCAGATAAACAATTGCATTTGATCTAATACAGCTTATTGTTTACCTGTAAGTTATTGTTGGCCGGCCATTCCTGTGCTTTACAAATATTCCCATAAAAGAAATGCCAATGACAGTGTCATTTCCAAGGTTATCCTGTTAAAGGGGAACAAATACATATTAACAAGGAGAAATGTACATAACACCCCATGCACAAACAAGTACTACCAAGCTACTTCAGAGATAACAAGGTGTGGAACTGGATGAACACAGCAGGCCACGCAGCAGCAGAGGAGCAGGAAAGCTGATGTTTTGGGTCTGGACCGTTCTTCAGAAATGGGGGAGGGGAAGGGGTCTCTGAAATAAATAGAGGTGGGGGTGCGGTGATAGAGGAGCCCCCTAGCCTGCACATCTTTGGACTGTAGAAGGAAACCGGAGCACCTGGAGGAAACCCATGCAGACACAAGGAGAATGTGCAAACTCCACACAGACAGTCACCCGCAGGTGGAATCAAACCCAGGTCCCTGGTGCTGTGAGGCAGCAGTGCTAACCACTGAGCCACCGTGCCACCCCAATGTTCAGACATTTGGATTCTTGGCTTTATAAACAGCCATAAGGTATAGTCAGAAGAATGTTAACATTAACATTAACATTAACCCCCACCCCCACATCCTACCTACTAGCCTCATCCCCGCCTCCTTGACCTGTCCGTCTTCCCTCCCACCTACCCGCCCCTCCCTCCTCACTGACCAACCCCCTTCCCAACTCCCTACCTACACTCACCTTTACTGGCTTCATCCCCACCTCATTGGCCTGTCTGTCTTTTCTCCACCTATCTGCTCCTCTATCCACCTTCTATCATCGCCTCCCCCTCTCTCTATTTATTTCAGAGCCCCCTTCCCCTCCCCCATTTCTGAAGAAGGGTCCAGACCCGAAACATCAGCTTTCCTGCTCCTCTGATGCTGCGTGGCCTGCTGTGTTCATCCAGCTGCACACCTTGTTATCTCAGACTCTAGCATTGGCAGTTCCTACTATCTCTGAGACTTTGAATATCATCATATGTACACTAGCAATTTAGGTCTGCTTTAGGTACTTTCATAGGTATAATGTTGCTAAGGAACCAAAGTGTCTAAAATTTCGGAGTGTGTCCAGATGAGCCAACAAACAATATGATTTTGCAACCTAGTATTCCAAAATTACAAACTGGGCTGGATAGTTTTGCCTTTGGCATGTGCTCTTACATGTACATTTCCAATCTTCCTAAAGGTGGACTGAAAAGATCACACATTACAATGAAATCAGATGCCAAGGTTTTAAGATAACAAGGTGTAGAGCTGGAGGATGGGGATGTAACTCATTTTTTCTGAGATTTGGAAGCTCTCAGTCCAATTGACAATAGCTACAAGCATCCCTGCCACTCAGCTACCAGCTAGGAGCATAAGATTATATTGAAGGAGGAAAATGATCTCAAAAGTGATTGGAAAATAATTTTGTCTGTATTAAAGCATTTAAGCTTTTTAAAGCTTTGAACGTTGCTTGAGAGTTGTATGACACATGGCTAACAAAGAAGGTTCTGTGGTTGACGGCATTTTACTGGTAAGAAGAGGGAATGTGAACAACACTAAAGGCAATGGATAGATTTGGTAGTCAAATTAAAAGGTTCCTTTAAGGAAGTGGGTAAAGAAGACCTCTGCTTGTATCCTCCTGCATACAGAATCTTTGAATGTCATGCATCTCTAGCACAATGTTAACAGTCAGGCTTCTTTCAATTGCTCTGGCACCCTTCTCTTCTAAGCAGTAGATGCCATACAGAATTTCCACTAGGAAACCCACTACACCCAGTCTGAAGAGAAGAGCCACTAGCACAGACTAGTGTCTAGCTGATCTGGATATCTGTTGTTTATACTTTGATTATAATGGAACTTAACTGAGGCAGGAATGACAGCATAAGGATTAGCATAGTTCTACGCCCTCATTGTCTCAAATATGCCATTCATTTCAGGAATGAAGGTTCCATTGTTCAAAGAAAATTATGATAGAAAATCATGCTGTAAACTCCATTCGAATTGTAATAATAGGGATCTGGTCTAATCCAGATTATTGTATGTTCTCACAACCAATCTAATAAAAAAGAGCAGGTTTTGAAATTGTAGGGTTTATTTTCACTTTCTAAAAAGCACTTATTAAAAAGATACACGCTAGAAGAGTGAAAAAGAACCAATCAAATTTTTCAAATGTTAAGTGCCACAAGATAAATCCTTCAATAGGCATTCTTGGACAAAGTCTTTGAGTGCTTGCTTATGATTTTTCAGCTGTGATTCATATAAAAAAACTGAACTGGCGAAAATTTGATTATTTGACATTTGTTTCTGTCAGTCTCCTCAAAGAATGAGCTGTAAGTAGGTTGGTTGTTGGTTGAGTCTAAGCAAATGATGGATTGCTGTAATTCCTACATCCTCAGAAATGCTACATTCAATCACAATGTTTCATAAGGGAGATAATTTTCAAATGTAAACTATGTCCCATTACAAAACAAACTCACCGGTTTCATGATCTGATGAAGACCCCATTTTCCAGTAGACCCCAGAAATCCTGCATAGGCCTGCACAGAGTGAGACAGGACACCATGCTTTGCCTAAATTTCCATTTAAACATTTTAAGGGCTCAGCCATCTGGTCATCCAGCATTACCTGGCAGTTTGTACAGCTGGGAGACCACAGGACTGAGAACGGAACAGAAAACAGACTGCGACTTCCAAGGCAGCTACAAATTGGAAGCCAAGAGGGTTGTGAATTAGGCGGTCGACTGCACAGATAAAGGGCTCCAGACCAAAGAGTGTGCTGCCAGAGCAGGCTTCAAGCAGTTGGGACTCTGAGTACTACTGGGAGCCACTGGGGCTTGGAAGTAGCTTTAGTGTAACTCAACAAGATTGGAGATCAGAGAATCCCAGGATCATTACCAGCATGGTAAAGTTAGCTACCTGTCAACAAGCTGGAATTGTGCCTGTGAGTATAAACTGTAGGCACAGTTGCATGAATTGCGGCAGGAACAGTGCCAAAAGGAGTATGAATACCAGGTTGGGAGCAGTTTTTGAGACAGTCCATAACAGAACTGCTATTGAAACAGTTCTGAAGCTAGGTCTTTGAAAATGAAGAATTGGAGAATTTGCAAAGTTTTAATGTGATTTTATGACCTGCAGTGACACTAACATCTGGGGAGTTGTTGAGAAATCTGTGAGAAATTTCTGAACCAGATTTGCCATTTGATGTACTCTGAGTGATGTTTGACCAGTTTGTCCATTACCAATATTTACATATTGCTAATTTTGGTTGTTAGAATATAAAAGTATATATTGTAGATTGTTTGACTGTTCATTCACTGTACAGTAAATATAAAGTTGGTTCTTTTCCAAAACTGTGGAATCTGTGGCTTTATTCCCTTACTCTCCTAGTAAGAACCCAGGAACTTGCACATTGTCTATTTTAAAGGTAAAGTTACTGTTCCCTAAACAGACCGTAGCATTTTCGAGTCTGATCTAGAATCATAACACCCCTTTGCAACATTGAAGTTATTCACATCATAATATATCTACACCATCTTTGTAAAAAAACTCCTTGCTAATGTAAATTTAAGTTCCATTTTCTCTTTACAACTTGTGTTCGATTACACGAATCCAACTTAGAAGGAAGTTAAGCATGTGCAGAAACAAACTAAAAATACAGTGGTGAAAATATAAAATATCTTAGAAGTTATTTTTCCAAATCAATTTGACAATTTCTGAATATACCTTAGCAGGGAAGCTTTCTTGCCCAAAGCCTTCCAGTTGTTCCACTTCCTTTATGTATAGCAACTCAGCCTCTGCAGCTAGCATCCCACTGGGAAGAAAGAAAAATTTAATTCAATACACCCATGTTCCTTAATAGGTAACATTTTCCTTGTCCAAATACCGCTCTGCCTGCATTTATCAATAATGGAATTCACACAACAGCAAATAATGCATTTGAACCCTATCAGATTCAGCTTAAAGAAGATCAAATATGCCAAGCATATGGCAAACCACACCGGGTATCATTTCCTCGATTTAAATCTGAGACAACATGAAAAAAGGGATTGTAAGGAAGTTGCCAGTCTGCAGTCCCTCTAAGACATGAAATGGTAAGGGGCAAAAGAAAAGAGAAAAGCAATAAAAACAAAAATTAACTGAAGTTATAAAAACTAACCTTTCACAAGCCTGTTTAATAGAACAAATAATTAATATTTGGGTACAGATCTAGATACAGAAATAGCAAACTTGCTTTTATTTAGCATGTCATTATGTCTCTTGGGATTGCTTCAAATCCAATGCATTATCTTTGGATTGTGGTTACTATGGGTGTGTGGGGCAATGGGACACAGCAAAGTCCCATAAACAGCAAGTGTGATGGATGACCTTTATCTTTGGTGGTTTTGAATGAGGGGACAGTGCTAGATAAAGTTTCAGAAAACTGTAAGGGCAAAATTCTATAGGGGTCCGAGTGATTTGGGCTATAGCATGATGCAGAGCACAATCAGGTGACAAGTGAGGCCCACCTTGACACCGAGGTCATCTTCCTAACTCGTTTAGGCTTTTCACAAGTGGCTTGGCGAGATTCTCACTGGGCAGCAGTGAAATGCTAACTACCACTCATTATTGCTTGTTATATATCTTGTTAACAGCCGAACTCACCTCAGCAATATTCAGCCTCCCAGTTTAGCACACTTGCCAGACAAGCTAACCATCAGGACAATTCAATAAGAAAATTAGAGGTGAGCACCCAGCAAATCTAGCTTGCCGTTTGCTTCAAACGACCCCCACAGCGGAAACCAGGGACCAACACCTCAGGGCATGTTCCATGGGTACCAATCACTTGCACCCTATGTTCACAGATATTAGCATCCGATATATGCTAACCTCTGTGAACCTTCATGGCATATCTTGGATCCACTTACAGTATACTTCTGCACTTCAGTGCTGCACTGCAGTCTCAACAAGCAACTAATGCTGCAGCTAGGACACTGTGTGCTCAGGGGGACACATCCAGCTTATGAACTGGACCAGACTACATCTCTGGACCCCTTGCTCGCTAACATAGCACTTGCTCACTTTGACCCTGTTTTTTATGTTCATGCATCCCTACCATACATTGCTTTGTCTTTTAGTGCTTTGCCTTCTCAGGTAAAGATACCAAGCGCATAATACTGCTTTACTGCCATGCCTTTTAGCACAGATACAAAGCCAGGAAACTCGTCACAGTTGTCAGCAGGCCTTCACTCGGAGTCCTGGCACAGTAAGTAAGGGCTGCCTCCAATACCAGCTCAGGCTCTGCAATGGTTTGGTCAGTACCAGGATCCTTTACTCATTAGGGGTGGGAAGCCAAATGACAGAGAGCACCCCACTCATCTTGAATCTTTCTGCCCTATTTGGTCTGTTTTCCTCATGGAACGAGAGAGAGGTATATATTATGGAAAACAAAAGTGAGGGGCACAGCAATTGCTATTTGTGCATGTGGTGAGGTGTCCCAATCAAGTGAGTAAGCAGTGCGGAAGGCATGCAGGATTAGTGGTAGTGGAGTTGGGGTAGATGACAGCGAGGATGCAAGCAATTGAGAGAGTGGAAGAGCAAGAGACTTGGTGGGAGGTGGCTACGACAATACAAATAAAGTGAATGTAAGTTAGCAGAAAGAAAATAGTGTCACGTGTGCTGGTGGAGTGGAGAAGGACATTAACCTTTTTCCTACAGTCCTGGGAATTAGTCAAGATGGCTGAGACTGTTTTAACCTGTGTGGCAACCTCGGGCCAGGCTGGTATGGTCAGGTCTCGTGTCCTCCACCGTTAGTCCTGGTGCAACATGCTTGCCTGTGCGTCAACCCATCCAGGAGAACCTCCAGGACCCTGCCTGGTAAATGGGATGCCAATTTCCCAGTTAGTCACATCAGCTCCAGACGGACAGTGCTCTTCTGGGTGCACAATAGGCTTTTATAGATGGCGTTTGAACAAGGAAAGCTCGTGAAACCCACAATATCAGCTGAGTGGCAAGTTGTTCTGAAAATTACATGTGGTAAGATGGGGCAGATGTCGGTCATGAGTGGAATTTGGTAAGATACAGTGAGAGAACTTACCAAGCCTCTTGGTGGAAAGAAAAATGCAACTCAGACTTAGCAAAAAAAACCCTGTACGATTCAGGCCTGGGCTTCTTCAAAATAGCGTCATGGAGCTTTTATATGACCAACTGAGTCACAGGAACAAGAAGGCAGAGGCTCCATTTAACTTATAATCGCCACTTCTAACAATGCAGCATTTCCTCAGTATTATTGTCATGGACAGAATGTGTATCTTCTGTTTGCAGTCCGTGATCAGTACGTTTTGTACGTACACTGCATGTTCCAATACTGTCTAGTATGTGGATCCTAATTAAGTAATTCAGCAGAAGGTTTTTGAGTGTTTCAAAAAAGTTCATTTCATAGAATCCCTAGAGTGTGGAAACAGGCCATTTGGCCCAACAAGTCCACACCAACCCTCCAAAGAGCATCCTACCCAGACCCATCCCTCTACCTTTTCTCTGTAACCCTGTATTTCCCAAGGCTAAGACACCTAAACTACAAGTCCCTGAGCACTATGGGCAATTTAGCACAGCCAATCCACCTAGCCTTTGGAGTGTGGGAGGAAACCCATGCAGACACGGGGAAAATGTGCAAACTGCACACAGTCACCTGACGGTGGAATTGAACCCAGGTCCCTGGTACCATGAGGCAGCAGCGCTAACCGCTGAGCCACCGTGCCACCCTGTTCTTGCTCACCACAAAAATTATGTAACATTACCTAATTGAAAAAATCAAAATGAAGTGAATCAGTTAAGTGAAGGCAGACTTGCCTTATAACACATTCTGTGGTGCAGGGGCCTGTGCTCAGCATATAATTCAGTGTATGGGGTTGAAAAAACAAGTAGCATAAAGAGTACTAAGCATTTCAGCAAATTACACCCAAGCTGCTGGAGTACTCCATACTTCACTATCCTTAAGCACAGCACAATTTACAAAATTATAGATCAGTGGATGGTGTCATGATCCAAACCTCCAATCTGGAAAATTCTGAGGGTAGATTGGAGAAGGTGTTCAAATCACATGGAGAGCCTGTGCTAGAATTTGGATTGTGTACACAGAAATGCTGAAATAAGAACAGTGGGAGCGCTACCTATAAATTGAGCTCTGCATGGGAAAAATAAATGACAGAGTCGCGTTGCCGCCCAATTCATATGGGGTACAGTTGGCCGATGCTTGGTAGGGTTCTGATACTAGCTACCCAGTAGATTTGTTCTGCATAAGCATTAAAAATTGGGTGAACTAGCTGGCGCATCAGAAACTCAACTATAACCAGCTTCAGAGATAATCTGATGTACGATGCGAGGTACAAACAGAATACAGTTTTACATGGTTAGTATATTCTGCTGATATCATTAACACCAGAAGTATCAACTGTGCTTGAGATTCTACCTAAGATTATATCCTGAAATCTACCACTCTAAGAGGCCATGCAGAATTACACTGTCATTGTTATCAATGCTGACTGATAATTTTATTTTTTAAAATAATACTGATAGTAGTAACATTATATTTGACCTTGTTGAAACATGAAGTCGAATCTGCGATCCTGTTTGTAGAACATAAATGAGCAGCTAGCAGTGAGTTTACAGAGATGTGTAATCCAATGTCACACTCTATCTTGACAACGATTCGTAGAAGACTATATGTTCAAAAATGAAGGAATGGATTAAAGGAACAGCTGGAAGAAGCTAAGTTCTTGTAAAACATAATTAGGTGTTGCTGATTTCAGTTACGAGTCTGACTGTACTGGAAACCCAGCTTACCTGTAGGCCTGGTGTTGCAGTGCTACCTTGCATGTCATTTCTTCCAGAACCCGTTCATCTTGAGCCCAGTCCTGTAAACAGATCACCAAAGCAATGTACAAATTTGGCAGCTAATCACAGTTATTAATGCTATAAATCATTTACAGCCTTATAAAGTTGCTATCCAAGAACAGAAATTGAGAGGTTTTATGATTGGTTTGGGGCCTTATTAGTTACAAGTCAAGACAGCCATGCTTATGTCAAGTAAGATAATATATTGTAAAACAAATTCTTCACAATAAAACCATTTGTTTCTCTTGGCTGGAGAGGAAAAACAAAATCACTGTGTGTTCCTATCCCTGATTCTTATTTAGGGATTCTTATTATGTTAAGATACTATATAAATATAAGTTGTTGTTCCGTACGCTGCTGTAAATTCAGGAAAAACTATAACTAGGTTTCAGAAAGATGTCCTCAGTTCCACAAATGAATAGAATTTTTGGGATTTCTCCCGATCTCTCGCTGCTGGTCCAGGGCTTCTGCTAACCTTCTGAATTACAGCAAAAAATTAGCAGGTTTCTGCAAAAAATTCTACTCAGACACACATGATGATTGACCGTTTGGATAAATCTCTTCTGGCTGTGATTATCAATTTTTCTCCCTGTAAGATCCTCCATTCCCACACTTAAAAATTCCACAGATCCCCTAAAGTACAAGTATGCCTTCTATTTAAAAATGCAATTAAACATATACTTAGTATTAATTTTAGTTGCTGACTTAATGTTAAACCTGTTGCTGGTGCCAAGTAACAATTCTACATTCAAATTTATTGTCTCATGGCCTAATTCCCCAATTAAAGCACACATTAAAAATATCTAAAGAAAATTAAAAATACCATCCTAATTTTTTTAATCTGTTTGTGATTATTAATCAATCAGGTATTGGATATTGGATACAAAATTGGCTTAACAGCAGGAAACAGAGAGTGATGGTGGAAGGTTGCTTTTCGGTCTGGAGAACTGTTGCCAGTGGTGTTCCACAGAGTTCGATGCTGGGTCCACTTTTGTTTGTCATTTATATAAATGATTTGGATGAGAATATAGAAGGTATGGTTAGCAAGTTTATGGATGACACCAAAATCGGTGGTATTGTGAACAGTGAAGAACATGATCTAAGATAACAAAGAGACCTTGATCAGTTGGGTCAATGGGCTGAAAGACTGCCAGATGGAGTTTAATTTGGATAAATGTGAAGTATTACATTTTGCTAAAACAAACAAGGCTGGGACTTATACAATTTAAATTAGGGCCTTCATTAGTGTTATAGTCAGAGAGATCAAGGGGTTCAGGTACGTAATTCTTTGAAATTTGCGTCACTTATATATAGGGTGGTTAAGAAGGCATTTAGCACACTTGCCTTCATTACTCAAACCTTGTAGTATAGGAGCTGGGATGTTATGTGGAGGCTGCAGATGATATTGGTGAGGCCTCTTCTGTTCGATCTAGTTTAGTTTGGGATAATGGTCAGCATGGACGAGTTTGGACCAAATTGTCTGTTTCTGTGCTCTTTGACTCTTCTCTAGGTATGTTAAATTCTTCCTAACTGAGCATTACGGTATATCAGACTGCCACTTGAGTACAGAGGGAGCTCTCGTCACCTAGGTCAACTGATCGATGCTTTCAGTGGCATTTTTTAAATTCACTCATGGGACCTGGGTATCACTGGTTGACCAGCTTTTATTGCCCGTCTCTTGAGAATGTGGTGGTGAGCTGCCTTCCTGAACTGCTGCAGTCCATGTGCTGTAGGTAGACCCACAATCCCCTTAGGGAGGGAATTCCAGGATCTTGATCCAGCGACGGTGAAGGAATGACAATTCATTTCAAATGTCAGAATGGTGAGTGGCTTGGAGGAGAACATGCAGGCAGTGGTGTTCCCATGTATTTGCTGCCCTTGTCCTTCCAGGTGGAATGTTTTGTGTTTTGAAGCTGCTATCTAAGGACTGCTGGTGAATTTCTGTGCTGCATCTTGAAGATAGTATACACTGCTGCCACTGAGCATTAGTGGAAGAGGGAGTGGATACTTATGGACGTGGTGTGAATCAAGACGGCTGCTTTGTCCTGGATGGTGTCAAGATTCTTGAGTGTTGTTGAAGCTGCACCCATCCAAGCAAGTAGACAGCATTCCATCACACTTTCCTGACTTGTGCCTTCTGGATGGTGGATAGGTTTGAGATTTAGGGGTGAGTTACTCACAGCAGTATCCCTAGTCTCTGACCTGCTGTTGCAGCTTCTGTGTTTATGTGATGAGTCCTGTTGAGATTCTGGTTAATGGTAACCCCCAGAATGTTGATAGTGGGGGATTCAGTGATGGTAACACCATGAACATCAAGGGGCAGTGGTTAGATTGTGTCTCATTGGAGGGATAGTCATTGCTTGGCATTTGTGTGGCATGAATGTTACTTGGCACTTGTCAGCCCAAGCCTGGATATTGTCCAGATATTGTTGCATTTGAATGCAGACTGCTTCAATATTTGAGGAGTTGTGAATTGTGCTGAACATTGTGCGATCATTGGCAAACACCCCCACGTCTGACCTTATGATGGAGGGAAAGTTATCGATGGAGCAGCTGAAGATGTTTGGGCCTAGGACACTACCCTGAGGAACTCCTGCAGAGATGTCCTGGAGCTGAAGTGACTGAGCTCTAACAACCACAATCCCCATCCTACGTGCCAGGTATGACTCCAACCAGCAGAGCTTTGCCCCCCATACCCACTGATTCCAGTTTTGCTAGAGCTCCTTGATGCCACACTCAGTTGAACGCGCCCTTAGTAACATGGGATGCCATTCTCACCTCACCTCTGGAATTCAATTCTTTTGTCCACGTTTGAACCAAGGCTGTAATGAGGTCAGGAGCTGAGTGGCTGTGGCAGAACCCAAACAGGACGTCACTGAGCAGGTTATTGCTGAGCTGTTTGATATCACTGTTGATGACACCTTCTATCCTTTTACTGATGATTGAGAGGAGACTGTTGGGACGGTAAGTGGCTGGGTTAGATTTGTCCTTTGCTTTCTTCTACTCGGGCTGATTGTCCTGTTGGTGGTGCTACGGCTGAACTGAACAGGTGTCTTTAACAATATTCAAAGCTCTGTCATGTTCTCGACATGTTGCAAAATATTTCAGAGTGAGTCACTTTCAAAATACGGTGCCCCTATCTAGGTAGGAAAACTCAGACAAATGTAAGTATTTTTTCTGAGTAGTAAGCAGTTAATTTATAGGAAGTCATTTTTTTTTTTTAAAATGCTGTCTGGTTATTTTTGAGACTATTGTGCTGATGTCTAGATTAGAACCTTACGATTGCCATGCCTCAGCTCTGCACTTTAATTAAAAGCAGTGCCTTCTGGAAGGTGGGAAATCAAGGAGGAGAGAAATTTAAATAAAAATGCATTATTGATGAAATACTCCCATCAAAATTACAAATTAAATTGTTTCCCTACATAAGGCTGGTGACAGATGTGTGAAAGTGGATTTGGAATTGAAAGAAGAACTGATGTCACAAATCATCCTTTTATTCTTACTTTAAAAAAAAAGCTTTGCAGCGGTGAGCAGAATAATTAGACTAAATTATTTTCCACTGAACAGTTTTCCAACAAGTGCTTTTTTTCTCCACCAGGCTGCTTTGTGCATCAGACACCATACTGCTTCAGTGCAAAGTAGTTTTTGAAAAAAAATGCCTTTTTTTGTTTTTAAAAAAAAGTAGGTTCAGTAGTGCTAGACATTTTATTGCCTTTAACCAGGGCAAAAAGGCCACAGCTGTGCCCCATTAATTATGTAATAAAATGAACTCCCACCCCAACCTTCATAACCTTTGCATAACTGTAGTTCATGAGTTGTGAGGTCAGATAACTTGTTGATAAATATGGTATTGAATTGAAACAGTGAGATACTCTCCACATTTTTGACATCAATGATATGCTCACAATTGAGATTTGTAAATACCTTTGAAACTCATCTTCAATATTGACATAATACAAGCAGTCCTTAAAGCAGAATTTCTGGTTTGCTGATAGTTGTGGGGAAAATTAACTAATGAGCTAATCTGAAACGTGGCTTGTTTAGATCAGGTACACCTGCAAAGTCAAAAAGATTTTTCTTTATAAAGAAGGCCTGAAAGGAGTCAAGTGTGTTTGATCTTCAGACAAAAAAAAAGCTTCAAATGAGCAGTCCTGACTTGGCTTGGAAATCAGAAACAAAAGATAGCGCCCTACAGGTGTGGGGTAGCCTGCAGGCATAGAGTGTTGCTTTGTCTCATTATTTCTGATCAAGTTCTTGCATATTTCATTGACAGAAACAAGTATCAAAAGGGAGGACCTGGGATATGAAGCTGGTGATAAATCAGCTGTAGTGTTTGGAGAGCTTTTCTGGTGCATAAGAAATTTTGGTTTATTTCAACCTCAGCATTGTATCATCGCTCAGGCACAAGAGATGGGCAGCTTTTAGTCATTTAAGAGTGAAGAAATAGTACTGTAAAAAATAACATAACAACAAGTTGACAATTGCCCTGGATGTGATAATTTAAAAGGTTTAGGCACAGACAGAGGATCTTTTGGTTTTGAATTTCCAAATTCTCTAGAATCTGTCACAGATAGAGCCATAGACTTATTCAGCACAGGAACAGACCCTTCAGTCCAACTCATCCATGCTGACCATGTTTCCCCAAACTAAATTAGTCCCTTTTTGTCTATGTTTGGCCCATAACCCTCTAAACCTTTCCTATTCATGTACCTGGCCAAATGTATTTTGAATGTTGTAACTGCGCCATCACTTCCTCTGGCAGTTCATTCCATGTACGAACCACGCTGTGTGAAAATGTTGCCCCTCAGGTATCTTTTATATCTTTCTCCTCTCACCTTAAAATTATGTCTTCTAGTTTTGAACTCCCCTACCCTGGAAGAAAAATCTTCGCTATTCACCTTACCTATGCCCCTCATGATTTTATAAACATCCATAAGGGTCACCTCCCATGTCCCAGCGTAAAAAGCCACAGTCTATCCAGCCTCCCCTTGTAACTCAAACACTCCATTCCCAGTAACAT